CAATTACAAACTACATCTACTGTAGTGTTATCACAGATTATTAAGTTATTTGTTTTTTATGTCATATAATAAATATGATTTTGGTCTGTGAGAGAAAACTGGAGAACAGGAAGTTGATCTATATGTTGCTCTACCAACTGTGACGCTGTACTGCCTCATTTTATATTTAATATATAATTATTAAAATTAATTAATTGTTAAAAAAATAGTGTTTCTTTTAATATTTATAAGGTTATATTCCTAAATATGTAGGGGAATTGAAAAAGGAAAAACCTGGGTACTCAACAGGATAAAACTGGGGGGGCCACTAGGGTGGCCAGCTTGTTCTCAGGGGGGGCATGGCCCCCCCTGAGAACAAGCTGGCCACCCTAGTGGCCCCCCTGCTGCTGACCTGTTTGCTGAAGGCGTCCACAAACATGGTCATGGCCGCTCTGGACCAGACCACGAAGGCGGAGTAGCAGCCGGTGTTCCCCGCGAAGTCCATCTCGAACTCCTTGGCGGTCTCCAGCAGGCTGGTGAAGAAAATGTTGCAGAGTTTGTGGATGTACAGCAGCGTGGCGCCCTCGATGCGCAGCTGCCGGATGGCCGTTTGGACGGCCGCGGCGCGGTTCTTCAGGAACAGCTCGCACGCTTTGGTGGACTGACCTGAGAGAAGAAGAAGAACCCACGTTATTATGTGATCGGTTCTCCTTCYGTACGCTTCTCAGCATCGAACTCGCTCCACGATTTTTGTGCCATTTCAACGATTCATACATGAAAACGTTCATCTCATTTATGACAATCCTGCTATGGCTTTTGGTATTTCAGCTGTTTTTACCTTTTCAGCTATTTCACATTTTTTAGCCACTTTTTTTGCCTAAATGAATGGAGCTGTTTTCAACATCCTTAAAATCCTTTCAAATGTTTCTGAATCTTTACAGATCCGTACACCTTTTGGTCTGGTACTGCTCCCTGTCTTAACTTTTTCTTACGTTTTTGCTAATTTTAGCTATTTTCTGCAATTTCAGCTAAAATTCAGCTTCTTTCTGCTATTATTCTGCTTTTATTTTTCTGCTAATTTGTGCAAACTCTGCTCCTTACAKGTGCATTCTRMTATTTTCATCTATTGCTGCAACTTAAGCTAATTTTTAGCTGTTATTAGCTAAAATTARCTTCTTTTTAAAGCTAAATACACAAGTTTTTGTGGCTAATATAACTTTTTTTCTGCTAAGTTCTGCAACCTTAAGCTCATTATGCTTCATTATGCTAATTAAAAAATTTCCAGCTACTTTTGAACTATTTTACTTAAAATTTTGGCTGKTTTAGTTATTTAATTTTGTACATTTATGCATTTCTTTCTGCCAATTTTACATTTTTTCCCACTTGAATGCTAATTACAGCTTGTGGCTGCTACACTTAGCTTATTTTATGCTAATTTTAGCTTTTAACTATAGATCTTCTTTTGCTTTTTCTACTGTTTGAGCTTTTTTTCTGCAAATTTGTGGTATTTATGTATTTTTCTGCTGTTTTTAGCTGTTTTCTGCTTTTTCAACTATATTTTTTTGCTTCTTTTTACTTTTTTCCTGCAAAGTTAGGCTTTTTTTTTGTTGCTTTTTTCAACTGTAAAAGTTTAAACTTGCAGAAACACTTTTGTTATTAAAAAGTTTCAGCTCGTTTTCAGCAGGAAGCATGCACACAAGCATTTTCGTGGAAATGCAATTTCTCTATTTAAACTAAAAATCAGATTTTTACAGTACGGGTTTGATGCTTTTTAAGTCCAATGATAAAAACGAGAGGTGAGCTGATCTGTAGAGGTTCTCAAACTGGGGTCCCTGGACCCCCAGGGGTCTGTGAGAGGTATCTTGTGGGTCCTCAGAAATTGTTACTAAAATGTTAATTTGTTTTTTAAATGCACGGAGAACAACGAACTAATAAAACAAACATAATAAACTTAATAAAAATATATATTTCCGTGGCATTTAGGGGTTGAAATGACAATAAATTATCTTTTAAAACAGCGGGGGGGTTATGAGGGGTCCCCAGAAACAAACGTCTGGAGAACCCCTGATTTAATCTAAATAAAGCGGTGGATTTGTGTGGATAGAAAAATAAAACTAAAAACAGAAACCTAGCCTGACGAGTTGGGACACGGCTCTCCGGGTGGCTTTCGGCCCCCCTCGCAGCGAGCGGTCCGGAGACAGCTCAAACACCAGCACCTCGGTCAGCTGCCACACCCGCTCGTCCACCTTGGCCCGCAGCTCCTTCACCTTCGGGCTGGCCGGCTGCTCCTTCAGGTACTCGCTGAGCTTGTCCAGCAGGTCCACGGCACCCTCAAAGTCCCTCTGGGCGATGCACACATCCAGGTCTTCAGGCAGCTCCTGGATCCACTCGGGGCTGAGGCTCGCGCACTCTTCTGCTGGCTCGTCGTCCACGTCGAAGGGGTTGGTGGAGACCTCGGCTCGGACAGGAGACGTAGGAGCCGCCTCCTCCTTCTTGTGTTTGTCCTTGGAGGCTTTATTCTTCTTGGTTGCCTCCAGGATCTCCAGCCACTCCTTCTTGACCTTGCTGTTCTCGGCCTGGAAGATGCGGCTGTCCGGGAACATGAGGATCTTGAACATGTCCTTCATGGGGGGGTTGTCCTTCACGTTCACCACGGCGAAGCTCTCCAGGTCGTACAGGGCGTTGTATTTATACTTCACCTTGTCTTTGCGGCTGGGGAGCCAGGTGGCGATCAGCAGGCAGTCGTTCATCAGGAAGGCRTGCACCTTCTGGATGTGGGCCATGTTGTCCACATCAAACTCCCCCAGGTCCCCGTTGTAGACCAGGTGTCTCCCTGGGGTGTCCATGATGTTCTCAGCTCCTTCAACTTTCTCCAGCAGAGAGGTGAGGGTCCTCTGCTTCAGCTCCTCTGTCTCTTTGGGGAAGGCCGCCTGCATCTCCTTGGAGGTCTCGTCCTTGTCGGCGGACAGCAAGGCCTGGGTGATGCTCTCCATGATGCTCTTCTGCTCGGTCAGGATGTGGCTCAGCTGGTACATCTCGCTCTCCAGGTACGAGATCTCCTTGGCCGTCTCGATGAACTGTCTGTAGTTCTTGTACACGTTCTTCTTCAGGTTCTGGGCCGTCTCGTCGGCCAGGTTTTGGATCTTCTGCCGGTGCTCCTGCAGGTCTCTGTCGCCATCCGACTGCTGGGACAGCTGCTTCACGTACGACTGCGGGTCGAAGTTCGGCGATTCGAGCAGTTTCCGGAGTCGATTCCCGGTTTCCGACATCTTTAGCCTCGTGGTGTTTATTTATTTATTTCTTCTTAAGCTGTTAATAAAATGGAGAAAAACATGAAGTGAAAAAGAGCTCGTTCATTTCCGCTTCTAGACGGACAGGGAGCTGTAAACGGCTACTTCCGGGTTGAAAACTGCTACTTCCGGGTTGTCACGACAAAAACAGTCCCGAGTTATATTTGATGAGGTAAATAAAATAAAAATAATCATGTTATAATGTATTACAGGAATACAATGTTCGTTTTCTATTAAACTAATATGTTTTTAAACAATATTCTGATTAAGTTTTGCTTTTTCAATGATAGACTACATTTCCCAGAAGCCCTTTGGGCAGTTTGAAAATAAATAACTACACGTTTTTACGACAATTCAGCGATAAAAAAAACCAACATGTTATATTTATCTTAGCATATTATTCATTTGTTAATTAAAATTAAATAAAAAATTAAGAAAATAGCTAAGTCAACTACGTAACCGGTTGTTTTTAGAAAGATACACCGGAAGTACTTCTTGTGCTTGCCGGAAATACACATCGGCGCCGGTGGAGCTGRTTTTGGATGGATTAGCAAAGTACCCTGCCTAAAAACATGTGACTTACTTTAAAAAAAATATGACACCGACCCCAGGACTTGTGCTCACATTTACTCCGAAGGACYGGTGCTTTAATCCAGGCTCAGTTGTTATTTGTTCCGGAACTTACGATCTCCGTTAGCTTGTTAGCTTAGCTTAGCTAGTTAGCATCTACCTGTTTTCATGATGGACGCGGACTTCCTGCTCGCCGTTCAGCTGCAGGATCAGTTCGACAGTGAGTTCGAGACTTCTCTGCTTCCASCGCACGAGTTTACCGGAGAGGACTGCGGAAAGAGCGGCAAGAACCCGAGGGTGGAGGCGGCTGGAGGTGTCCCCAGTTTGAAGCCGAGTCCGCGGCCCGAGCGGCCGCTGAGCATCGTGGACAAGTCCTGGGAGATGCTGGACCCGAACCCGGACGTGAGGGCCATGTTCCTGCAGTTCAACGACAGGTTCTTCTGGGGCAAACTGAGCGGAGTGGAGGTGAAGTGGAGCCCCAGGATGACGCTGTGAGTCCGGGTTACACATCACACTTTTATCATTGTGTACAGAAATAAACACGGTTTCACAACACCTTTAAAATATCTCTTTTTGTGTTGTAAAGTAAGTTTCCTGACAGTGTCATCATTATAACACAACATTTATAATAATTACTGGCACATATAGGCTAAACCAGTGGTTCCCAAAGTTTGGGTCGGGACCCACAGTGGGGTCCAGAAACATCAAGGTTGGGTCCTGAAAATATTTTCTGAATTTAATTACACCAAAAAGTGACAAACATTTTTTGCCTTTGTCGTTACAAAATATTAAGATTAGCGTACTTAAAATGGACAAAAATAATGTAACAAATAATGTTACTATGCTCTTGTTTATTTGACGTGAAAACAATGTTTATCAACCGACAACAGCCGGTGGGCTCAGGTCTCTGATTATTTTACTTTGTGGGTCAAAAGCTGAAAAGTTTGGGAACAACTGGTAAACAAACACAAGCTGTGTTTCCATTACAAATGTGTGCAAAACTTTGTCGATATTTTGTTAATGTTGAAAAACACAGTTTCACAACTGCWGTGTTTCCATTAAGTAATAAATGTTMTTAAAGTCACGTGAATACGTTTGTTCTCATGATAAGTCATTACAAACATGGCAGCGATGGATGTAAACACATAGCATGTTGCTACCACGACACTAGCGCTCATCATCAGAGGAGACGTCGGCGTCTTTTATCGAGGCTTTCCAGAGACAAGTCCCTACTTGGGAGCGCCTACGTACAGTGGGGAGAACAAGTATTTGAAACACTGTTGATTTTTCAGGTTTTCCCACTTGCAAAGCTTGTAGATGACTGTAATTTTTATCATAGGTACTCTTCAACTGTGAGTGATGGAATCTAAAACAAAAATCCAGAAAAATACAATGTATGAT